AGTTTTGAAGATTTGTTGATTTAAAGCTTAAATAAAACTAATACATCATCATTAGTGGAGATCAATACATTTGGCAGCAAACTAATTTAAAAATGAAGAATGAACTGACCCGTTACGCAAGTAAATGTTGAAAATGGCCACCATGACTCTTCATGCAATAATAAAGATTTTGCTCAAAACGTTGCCGCCCATTTTGCAATATTTGAGGAGTAATTTGAAGGCACTCATTCACAATTCTTTGTCGCAGGTATTCTAATGATGTAGGCTGCGTAGCATAGATTTTGCTTTTTAAATGACCCCACATAAAGAAATCCAAAGGTGATAAATCTGGCGATCTTGGGGGCCATTCAATGGCACCTCGTCTACCAATCCATCGATCTGGAAACGTCTGATCTAAATATTGTAGAACACGTAATGCGTAATGTGGTGGGTCACCATCCTGTTGGAACATCAACATATTCGCAATGTACCGTCGATCATTCTGATTTTCAATTATGGCTGTTAATGCAGGATTTACGGCGTCTTCCAGTAATTCCAAATACATTTCACCGGTCAAATTTCCAGGTAAGAAAAAAGGACCAACTAAATGATAATCGCCTTTATTTATAATGATTTCATTATGCAAGGTGCCTCACTGGACTTAACCGATAACATTGTTAGAGCCTGAGATCAACATATGATCACATCATTAGTTCTTCTTGACTTCTCTAAGGCATTTGATATCATAAATCATCGTCTTCTAGCAGCCAACTGTAAATATTTTGGTTTTTCTGATTCTGCCTCAAAAATGATTCAGAGCTTCTTAGGAAATCGATATCATTGACATGGTTCTATCTTCAAAGTGCCTTATTTCCTCCGAAGTGCCTCAAGAGTCTGTACTTGGGCCACTCCTATTCATTTTGTATATTTCTGATCTCCACTCGGTTGTTAAATATTGTAATATCAAATTCTTAGCCGACGATTCACGGATCTACAGTCATTTCCATAATTACGACATTCGAAATGCTGAATCTGAGATAAATGAAGATATAACATCTATTAGTATGTATGCAAGAAATTATAACCTTCAGATGAACCCTTTAAAACCGAAACTCATCATTTCTTCACCAAAACTATTTAGAAGTGATGCCAAAAGAAATTTTAAAGTAAAATTAAATGGTGAGACTATAGAAGTAAGTCAGTCAGTGAAAAACTTGGGCGTAACTTTAGATGAATGTCTAAATTTAATACCACATCTAAATAATATCAGTAAGAGTTGTTTCTCAATTTTACGTCAATTATATCTTAATAAACAATTTCTTGACTTTACAACTAAAGACATTTTGTGTGAATCTTTGGTAATGTCCAAAATTAGTTATTGCGATTTAGTTTATCTTCCATTTCTTGACTCGATATCTCTAGCACGTCTCCAAAAAATCCAAAACTCATGTTGTAGGTTGATAAATAATTCGAAAATGATCGTATCAGCTCTTTTTTCAATGACATGAAGTGGTTGAGAGTAAATGAACTGAGGGAGCTACACTTTGTTACTTATACCCACAGGCTATCATCCATTCCGCCGTTTTTGAGAAATAAGCTGATATCTAGAAGCAATATCCATTCTAGGGACATTCGATTCCCTGAAACTCTCACAACGCCCCTTCATAGGACATCATTCTTTCGTAAATGCTTCACCCACAACGCAATTATTTTTTACAATGCTCTACCTAGATACACAAAGTTGCTATCATATGATGAATTTTATTTTGAATAGAAGTATAAAGTATATAAATGAGTTGATAAAAATTATCTGTCACCTTACACAAAAATATTTCCAATGTAGCATTCTTTTGTTTTGTATGACTGTTACAATTTTATACTTTTAACTCATGAAATATTGAATAGCCTTCACTTATATATGTTATATACATCATATTTTTTATACACCTAAATTTTTAAACTTCTTACTTATCAAATGTATTTATGTTTTTGTATTGTTTTTACAGTTTTTCTTTTTTTTGGTTAAGTCGCAGAGTAGCATTATGCTAAGCTTCACCCCTAAACAAAGACGATTTATTATTAATTTATCTCATGTAGCTAATACTCCAGTTGATTCAAATGTATAAGGACAACGTATACTCGTTAAAATTATAGCGCCCTGTGTCTCTGTTTAAATAACAGAAGACCTGAAATTCCATTTTCACCCCTTCCCCTGTACCCAGCAGCAAACTAGAAGCTGAAGTTCTGCAGAGTATGTTTGCACTTCTGCGCCATATTTACCCACCGAAAGGGTCAGACGTTTACCAGACCTAATCATATAAGACTTGCGGCTTGCCATTTATGAACTATGAATATCAAATTGGATTTCACTTGTTTTAGCTAATGGGTAACGCACGATATCAGCACAGATAGGAGCTGTTCCATAATAATATGGAGATTGGTTAGGTTAAGAATTGTAATCGCGAGATATTTCGAAAATGAGATATTCCTTTTTTATGTTATAGCACATGTGAGTGGAATTTTCTCACAAGGTTACCGCTGTGCCAAGGACGAAAAAGATTTGAATTTTTTGAAAATCGGTCGAGTGTGAGTGCAGCTACGAAGGAAAAAAAAAACAGAAATCGGTCAAACATCGTTCTTTAACGTTTCAGAGGCTACTGATCACTTTCAAATATCTAATTTTTTTATGTAAGCGTATTCATACGCCTCCAACGTCGGCAATACTGCACACCTATTATACATATTGCACATATATTTCCCCTTACATTTTCCGTCAAAACCTAGAATGATAAGCGAAAGACTCGTCTCTGGTACTTGGCTACCTCTGCGCCGCGTTACGTCATCTCCGATGGCTGTTGTCTAACTGCCGGGCTGCCGTTGTCGCGACTGGCTGACTGACTTGCCACATGTTCGGCGCACTGTTTGACTGACTTGATCCGTTCAATTTCTTTGTTATATAGGTTCTTAGCTCAGAAAAAGTTACTTATGTCGAACATGGTGCTTTATGACTCATGACATCGTTGCGAAGGAAATACAGAGTCAACCTACTTGACTCCATTTTTCATTTTGAGGATACCTCATTTGCGCTGACAGTCTTGGCCAGGAGAGGTGTCAAAAATCTCACTCAAGGAAAAAACCATTCTTGTTGGATTTAAGGCATCCTTAGTGCCTGGCAAGATGAGGCAGATAAGGCGTCTTCACAATAACGAAAGGCTAAAGTCATGATTACCCAATTTACAATTTCTTGTTGTTCCCATAAATGAAGACACAAGTGGATACACGTGTGATGTAACAACACCATTGTTTGGAGAAAATTTAATTTAAGCATTTTTTTTAGGACTTTTTACCTTACTGACATTTCAAATATTAAGTTTAATAAGTTTGTTATTATCTTCTTTTTGCCACAAAGTAATCACATAGTGAAAGAATCACTCATTAAGGTCAGTTTAATGCAAAAAAGCAATATAAAAAAGATGTTTCATGATACCTTTATCTACTTGTGTCTTCAATTATAACTTCATACGACTCTACATATTTGTGATAGATTTTTAGCAACTTATGGTTCTTAAAATGTTTATTTGATTGTTCTATGAGTCGTCTACGTTTTTGCATCCTGTGTCTTCTATGTGTCTCTAACGTATGAATATTTTTTCAGATAACAAGGTAAAATTCATTTATAAGTTGAACACTTACACTGATGTTGGTGAGTATATGAGTGTGTTTTAGGTGTGATAGCTTTAAATCTACAAACATATATTGATTGCCCTTGATATTGTAACATTTCATCCGAAGATTTATTCGGATTTTCTACAAAATTAAAAAAATGTTGAACAATATCCACCAGCAGTATCTTTAAAATAACTAACCGCTGCGACTTTTCTGGGGCGCAAACGTTATGGGACATTATTATGTACACAACAATTTGGATTTATACAAAACGCACAGTGATGTACACAGTTATACACGTAACATGCATATTCCTTAGAGTAAGTCTACAAACAAGTAGAAACGGTTCTAACTACTATGGAATCCACTTTTATAATGTTCTTCCTGAGACACTCGGAATATTTGGCCCCAGCTCATATAAGTATAGAATTACCTAATCAAGAAAGCTTTTAATACCATCGAATAATTTTCAAATAGTAACTTTTCGGATCTCTGATAATGGTGTTGCAGTGTGCTTGTTTACCTTTACTTTGTTTTTCAATTTGTTCGGATGTGCTTGTTCTATAGCTTTGCATCTATTTTAAATTCATAATATCATTTTACAGTTCTCCTGTTAATGTTGGTTTTTACAGTTTTCTGTTGATGTTCTTTCCAACAAATTTTATTGTTTTGTGAATTTACACTTTGGTATTTTAACTTCTACTTTGACCCATGTAAGCGCAGAGGTGCATTAAGCACCAATAAAGAAATGAAATGAAATGAATATTAAAATGAATGACCCTTGTATGCATAGCAATCGAGCAACAGCCTGGTATGTTTATTAACTGTCAACTAGTTTAGTGGTTGCCTTGAAAACATCTAGCTAGTCTATTTTTGGGGATGTTTGAAATAAGTTCCAATAAGCATTCATTTTTTTGCAAAAATGCGAGTTGAAAACCACCGAAATAATGGTCGTAAGAACGTGATTAGCACGTTGACTGCTATATGGGTCTCCCGAGACCGTTATCAAACTTCATTTTGATGCGGAGCTGTTTTTTTTCAAATTTCCGTTTTGGTGCGGAATGCATATTTCCCTTAATATACAAGTTATAAATGCGAGACATGTAGCTATAAGATCGTGAGAACTTGTAAAGACGGAAAATTGTATAAAAACTATATCGGTCTCCGGAGACCTACACCGCACAGACATATCAAAATAATTAGTGGAGAGCGTTGTAGGTCTCCGGAGACCTTTGTATAATCGAACAAACGTGTCTCATCCTGTTTCGCCGTCATTTGTGTACCGAATGCGAGCGAGTTAAGTTGTGTATTGGGCTCACTAACCAAAAATGTTTTCTTCTCGCGTTAAAAAAATTATGAAAATAACTAAACATCTACAAAACACTGGAGCAGTTCCCACAAATCCTGGTACACAAGCAAATATACCTGAAAATAAAATTGAAATTGTTGAAGCAGCGTCATCAGACGACGGAGAACAAACAAATAACCCTGGAACAAGTTATGTTATAAGTGGAGACGAATTTTCCGACTTTGGGAGTGATGATTCTATCACAGATAAAGACTATTATCCATCTTCATCAAATTCTGATGAAAATCCACATAATCTGTTTGATGATACAATCGAAGGTATATATTTCTAACAAAATGCCTAATGATAGTGAAAGTTATGACACCATAGATAATGAAAAGGGCAGTTATCTTTCAACATCTGTAATGAGTCGCCTGAACTTAATTTTGACGTGAGTCAGATTCTAAGTCCACTGGAGGCCTACAAACTGTTTGTGACAGATGAACTTTGGCACATCATTGTTGAAGAGACGAACAGATTCGCCCAACAAAGCTTAGCAGGACGTAGTAATTCGAAGTCCAGGTTACATGTTTGGGTAGTCACAGATATAAACGAGCTCATGCGTTTTTTCTCAGTTATTCTAGTAATGGGTTTTAACTCGCTTCCGTCAGTTAATTCCTAATGGTCAAAAGATCCTATGTTCATAAATGAGTTTATAGCAAAGACAATATCACGTGAGAGATTTCTCCTTTTACTTCGATGTTTACATTTTTGCAACAACGAAGACCCATTTTTGTATACTAACGACCGGTTGTACAAAATCAGAACAGTATTGGGAGTACTTAACAGGAACTTTCAAAATGTTCTTACTCCTGGCAGAATTCTGGTTATCGACGAGCCAATTGTTCCTGTCAGAGGTCGATTAAAATGTCGTCAGTATATTCCTAATAAAACGCACAAGTATGGTGTCAAACTATATAAATTATGTGCTGTTGATGGATACATAATCCAAGTTATTATCCAGGGTGTCCGCAAAGTTGGGGTTTTCCTTTTCAGAAACAACTATCCTTGAAATAACAAAGGTAATGTGTAGTGAAACGAGGGCGACCAAGTAAAAAAAAATAAAGGAAAAAGTACTCACTCGCCAGTTGACGAGAAGGGCTAAGTACGTCTCTGCCCGAAATCATACCGCTCCAACAGAAAATGAAATCAGCTGATGCATCCCGTCCAATCGATTTGGGAGAATAAATGGTCCAATGAGCATACCGTTCACCATGTCAGCCCAAACATTCACCGAAAATGTTTGTTGAAAATGTGCCCGACGGACAGCGTGCGGATTTTCTAATGACCAAACATGAGTGTTGCGAAAGTTATTCACCCCATTACGCGTGAACATAGATTCGTCTGTCACCAATATGCACTTCAAAAAGTCCGGATTATTGTCATGTTGATGTAACAACCACTCACAAAACCGCACTCTTGCTGGAAAATCGTCAGGTTGAAGGGCTTGTACACGTTGGACATGAAACGGATACAGCCCCTCTTCACGCAGCGTTTGCCACACTTTAGTTTTTGATACTTGCACTTCCCTAGCCACGTCTCTAGTGCTTGTTGAGGGATTCTCGTCTACGCGATTACCTCTAGACGCGTGACCGTAACCGTCGGTTGAAGGTTGCATACTGACCTGACACACTGACCCCAACCCAGTTATGTCGTCGGGTTGAGCTAGTGTCCTAGTACCAGTCGGGGATGTCGCGGCTACAGGACGGTATTCAGATATTTTTGATGTTGCAGAGCCCTTTATCTCGGTTCCCTTAAGACATTGGTGTATATGGTACTAAGAAAAAATGCTTATGTTTTCAAGATCTACACGTCGTGTAAAGGAAAACCCCAACTTTGTGGACACCCTGTATATACAGGAAAAAATGAAAAGGTTGAAGGCCAACAGCATTCAGAAACGATGGTTTTAGAACTGCTAAAACCCATAAAAGCTAAAGAAGGACATTATCTTTTTGCAAATAATTTTTATAGCAGCTTGCGTTTAGCTAAAAAACTATTTGATGAAAAAATTGTCTACTGCGGAACACCACGTGCAAATACGAAAGGAATCCCAAAATCTTTCCAAAAAAAGTTGAAAAATGTAAAGACGTATGGTCAACAAAATGGATGCGTTAAAATTATAAAATGGGTTGATAAACGGCTAGTTTTAATGCTGACTACAGATCCTACTCATATCAGCACTGTCCAAGAAACTGGAAAAAAATCAAGAAAGGGGGAACACATTCTAAAGCCCAAGTGTGTTACCGATTATAATAAAGCTAAGAAAGGACTTGATTATAGTGACCAGATGACTTCATATCACTGTGTTCTATATCGAGGCCTGAAATGGTACAGGAAAGTTATGAATGAATTTCTATTGGGAACATGTGTCGTAAATGCCTGGATTATTTTCAATCACATTTCAAAGCAGAAAATGTCGATAACCGAATTTAGAAAAACTTTAGCAGAACAGTTGTTTCTGAACCGACAACGCGTAAAAGGATACACACTTTCAGAAAGCCAACTGGCCCAGGAAGAAAAAAAATAAAGATTTGTAAAGGATGCTACCAAAATCTTCGGACCGCACTATCAAGCTGTGAAGCCAATAAAAAAGTCACCAAAGCAACGAGTTTTTGTGAAGATTGTCCCGGAAAACCTGGCATGTGTCTTCCTTGCTTTAATAAATTACACACATAATGGAAACCTTTTCTTCGCTTATATCTTTGAATTATATTGTATGGTTTTAGTGGCAGAATATCAAAATTTAAAATAAAATGAATATTCCATAGTGTTCTTTTAATGCTTAAAATAAATCTAGCCATTGATGCGGTATACGTCGTCAGCGACCTATACGGAGCCAGACTTACGTTCACCTAGAATATATTTACAGATTTCTGCAATAGTTATCTGATTCTGGTTTGAACACAAAATGTTAGAGGGCTCTAGGTAAAGACTTGCCTATTGGACTCCGAAGACCGATACCGTGTCAGAATAATAGCATGCTATCGGTCCCGGGCGACTTATATCGCATTGAAGAAATAATGCCATTTCTTTGCAACGCAGTCAACGTGTTAAAAATTAGTGGGCTGTCATCAGTGTCGCATTACACGCCTCGGGAATAATTTAAAAGTTACACAGTATTTCAGAGTGAAGTGGCATCTGTCAATATGCATTCCATTACTGTGTATGGTATTACAGTGATTTACAAACTCACCCTCGTAATGAATACACGTGAAAAAGACAATACGTCAATGTATTTCACTGCGTCAAAAGTGTACACCTTTGAGGCTTGATAACTCTTCAAGAGGGGTCTCTCGAGGTTTGTGCCCATTTGTATTTTTGGTCAAAATGAGAAAAAGAACATTTTACAGCATTTGGTAGGAATGTGGCTCGTTCTTGTTTAAACAATTTTTCAATAAAATTACAAAATAATAATTTTTTGCTCTAGACAAAGCTTTTTTGCGTTCTCGACAAAAATGGTGCCTCATGACTATTTCTAAGATTGGCCTATTTAAGTTATAATCGAGACTGCGAAAGATTGCCTAGGAACTCTGTTAAAAATTGTTATTTTTGGGGTTGACAAGTGTATGATTCAAGGGCCAAGCTTTCCCTTATAGATCCTTAAAGAGTATTTTGTGCTTTTTTGAACCATTGGTAGTTAATTGTTAATAACGCACTGTGGCCATGGGTGCATTGATTTACAGGTATAATATGGATTATTCCGACTTCATCATCATTTTAGAATAAGCACGATGGCTACTTTACATTACATAAATCGCCTATTGAGTCTTTATTCAGAAATCCACCCAATTTATTGGAAGATACGTCAAACCCCTATCCTATCCCTTCTTACTGAGAATTATTCAGAAGCTACCCTACTTGTGACGCTTCCGCATTGTTATGTGTCTACGAAGAAAAATCCCTGACATGCGGACAGGACTTTGATTTATCATAGTGGCTGCCTTTCTCCTGTTTGATTTATGTGTGTGCCCGTATTTTTAATATAGGTAACCTTCAGGTCCCACTCAACTGGACTTTCGTCACAGCATGTACAATATACGCAGCACAATTCCCGAGTATATGAGGGATGCTCGCATCGTATAACGCGCAGGCAGGCACTATTCACCTGACAGCTTCTTGCAGCGCACGTCGAGCTCTCAAAGTCTAGAAATTCGCTCAAACATTTAGTGTCATTTTTAGATAGATCCGTTGGTGTCTAATGTTGCTGTGCATTCGTGTCTTGCAAAAACAGGATCAATCACTGAGGTCACATGTTTTTTAAATGCGCGAGATAGAAGAAGAAACACGTATGTGATACTCGCATTCGGGCTCTCACTCTAGCATACGAGTTCCTCTATCTATCTCTCTCATACCTCGACCATTATCTGATGATCCTTTTTAAAAAAAAAGGGAGGATAAACAGTTACAGTGGAATCCACTTATAATGAACTTGCTTATAATGGAAACCCGTATATAATGGACACAATGTAAGGTCCTATAAATAATTGCATGTAAAATCCTCGGATATTATAGACTCGCTAAAAATAGACCCTCGCTTATAACAGACTATTTTAATCCATTATGTGCGAACTATTTTGGTAGTCCCCGAAGCAGATTTAGCTGATGCAATCGTTTACGGTGGTTTGGCTTCGCAGTTTGCATTCTAACTTGGCCACCAGTGTTACACTGTATTTATTAGAGTTATAAACATGTCGAAAAGTGCGAAACGTGCATTCACTTTACACGAAAAGTTCACAATAATCTCAAACAAATATATGTGCTCGTATGGCTATAAAAAAATCTACTGTGTCATATATTTGGAAAAACCGTGACAAAATTAAAAATGACTGGAAATCAAATAGTCAAAAGAAAAAATGCGCTATCGCTGCATCCCCATGTCGATGATATGCTGTTTAAATGGTTTCAACAAAAGCGTGCTAATAATTTTCCAATAAGTGGACCTATGCTACAAATAAAGGCTGAAGAATTTGGGAAATTGATTGGAGATTACTTCAAATGTAGTTCCGGTTGGCTAGACAGGTTTAAGAAAAGACCTAACATTGTTTTTGGAAAAATGTGTGGCGAGTCAGCTTCGTCAGAACGTTACCAATGATGAATTTCTCAAGTTTGGCCCGTAATATCCAGTGATTATTCAGATGATAACATATTCAATGCAGATGAAACCGGGATATTTTATAGAATGCTACCGGATAAAACTCATAAATTAAAAGGTGAAACTTGCAATGGAGGGAAACTATCAAAAGAGCGAATAACTGTTATGATTTGTGCTAATGCTTCTGGTACTGAAAAACG